GGGACTCCCAATGGCCAAATGCTGCCTTGCTAACATCAGACCCAGGCAGCAGCAGGCCCTCCTGGGAAGTGTGCTCCTTCAGGAGGTAACCATCTACAGGGACCTCAGCTCAGGGTTTTCCCCACTAGCTCTAACACACCTCTTTCAAATTCCACTTTTTAAAAAATCAAATATCAGCCAGGTGCAGTGGGCACACCTGTAATCCCAGTGGCTCTGGAGGCTGAGGCAAGAGGATCTCGAGTTCAAAGCCAACCAAAGCAAAAGTGAGGCGCAAAGCAACTCATTGAGACCCTGTCTCTAAATAAAATACAAAAACAGGGCTGGGATGTGGCTCAGTGGTCGAGTGCCCCCGAGTTCAATAAATAAATCAAATTTCAAATCATCCCCAGATTACTCCCTTTCCTAGCCCATCCTTTTCTCTAAGAAGCCCCCACCTCACCCCAGGCCACAYATCTGCTGTATACTTGATCATACTTGCTTTGATAAGCTTTGCTTTCCCCAAGTCAGTAAAAGAAACCAAACTGGGCCTAAGATGCAGCCTAACTACACATTTCAAAGCTGAGAATGACTAGTAAAAACAGAACAAAGCTGGGCATAGTCGCCCAGGCCTTATAATCCCAGCAGCTCAGGAGCCTGAGGCAGGAGGACTGTGAGTTCAAACCCAGACTCCTCTACTTAATTAGGCCCTAAGCAAATCAGAGAGACCCTATCTCTAAATTTAAAACAAAACTAAACAAAAGAAAAAACAGGCAGGGGGACTATTTTTGTTTTGTTTACAAAACAAAATAACAACAACAACAACAAAAAAAAAAACCCACACAGCACAATAGCTAAACTGTGGAACCAACCTAGATGTCCTTCAATTGTTGAATGAATTTTTTAAAATGTGGTATATATACACAATGGAATACTATTCAGCATTAAAAGAGAATAAAATCATGGTATATGCAGGTAAATGCATGGAGTTGGAGAATATAATACTAAGTTAGTCAATCCCAAAAATAGCCAACCCCAAAACCAAATGCCGAATGTTTTCTCTGAATAAAAGGATGCTGATTCATAATGGGGTGGGGTGGGCTGGGATTGTGGCTGGGCTGGGATTGTAGCTCAGAGGTAGAGCGCTCACCTAGCATGGGCGGGACCCGGGTTTGATCCTCAGCACCATATAAAAAATAAAGACATTGTGGAAAAAAAAATAATATTCTTTAAAAAAAAAAAGAAACATAATGGGGTGGGGTGGGGGAACATGAGAGGATTGGGTGAATTCTGGATAGAGCAAAGGGGAGGGAGGGGGCATAGGGGTAGGAAAAAAGGTGGAATGAGATGGACATCATTACCCTAAGTACATGTATGAAGACCCGAACGGTATGAGTCTAATTTGTGTTCAACCAGAGAGATGAAAAATTGTGCTCTATATGTATAATCTGAATTGTAATGTATTCATTACTGTCATATATAACAAATTAGAATTTTAAAAAAACCACACAGAACAAAAAGCCAGGTGTAGATGTACACATCCATAATTCTACTGACTCAGGAGGGTGAGGCAGGAGGATCCAAAGTTCCAGACCAGCCTGGGCATGACCCATATCTCAAATAAAATTTAAAATAGGGTTGGAGATGCAGCTTTGTGGCTCTGAGCAGCCCTGGTTTCAATCCCCGGTATTGCAAAACAAATAACAAAACCCTTCTGCAAGTTCTTGGTACTAATATGTCCACTAGGGTTTTGCTAATCTTCAGCTGCTCCATTATACAAAGTCCATCAGCTGAGCCTATACCTCCATGAACTGAGGGAAGTGTACAGGTGCAGTGGTGCACATTTGCAATCTCAGCTACTTGGGAGGCTGAGGCAGGAGAATCCCAAGTTCAAGGCCAGCCTGGGCAACTTAGGGAGACCTGTCTCAAAATGAAATTTAATTGGGGGGAGGTCACTGGGGATATAGCTCAATGTTAAGTATGTTTGAGGCTCTGGGTTCAATCCCCAATACCATTATTTGGAAAAAACAAAAAACCAAACCACACTGCACAGTGCAGAGCATCCCCACAAAGAGGAACAGTCCCACCAGAAAGTACATAAGTGCAGCCAAGCAAGGTCTGGTGGCCCAAACTGGGACAGTGCACATAGGTGGGGGTACGGAAGCTACTGAGAAGGCAGCATGGAATCAAGGGTGGAAGGGTGTGGATGCACCAGTAAGAAAGGCACACCGAAAGCCCCTGGACCACCACTACATCCATTCTGACAAGTTCATAGGCTCCTGAAATCGATGGCTGGCCTTCCTGAGTTTCTACTGTGCTCTCCCAGTGCTGGCATGGCCAGGGCAGTCCATCTGGGACCGCACTGACACTGCTCGCTCTAGTTCCTAACCCTATCTACATCACAAGCTGTCAAGAGCTTTCTAACATAAATGCTACCACTTCCAGCTATAAACCCTTCAAGGGATCCTCAATCCTTTAAGAAAGGAACTGCCTTCCAGTTTCTTCCCTTTTTGATTCCTCTAGGACAACACGAGTCACATTCAGACAATCTCCAAAGCAAAGCACTACTTTCCTCTTCATGCCCCATGCCTCTGCAGTCGCRCTCTTCTTCTGTCCTGAGAGCACTAGGCCCTTGTCCTGTGAGCAAACTCACACACACCCCAGTTCACCCAAATGTATACAGTCTCCCACAGCTGCTCCCCATGAAGATTGGTGCCTTCTGCTGGGCCCAAGGGGGCCATCAAGGCACTGAGTCAGGGCAAGAGACACCCAGTGCTGAAATAATCTAAGGGTAGACATTCTTCTCCATTGAGTGACCATTTCCAGCCTCACCACACAACGGTAGACTGTTCTTGTCATTCAAGCCTTTGCCCCTACACAATGTGCACTGTTTCATCAAACAATTTTCCATGATCATTTGCCAGAACAGTTTCAACTCTACTGCTCTTAGCTACTAAGAATTATTTACATTTCTTCAACACAAAAGTTGTCTCTCCAGAGCACCTGTTCGAGGCAAACCTGCCATTAAATGATTGTTACTTAGGCACAGCCCAAAGCAACTCTTGTAATATTAGTAATATTTTAAGTACTTAATTATACTTTATTAAACAAAGCTGTGCATGATGGCTTCAGAAGTGTACTATAAATGCAGTCTGGAGACCAGCGATCTATGCTAATCTTGGCTACTAACTAGCKGTGAGACTGAAAACATTTGATGAAACCTCTCGCTAGACCTCAATTTTTTGCCTCTAAAAAGGACTAGAAAACAGGGCTGGGATTGTGGCTCATCGGTAGAGCACTCGCCTAGTGTGTTTGAGGCCCTGGGTTCGATCTTCAGCACCACATAAAAATAAATAAATAAAATAAAGGTATTGTGTACAACTAAGAAATAAATATTTAAATAAACAAACAAACAAACAAATAAAGATGTTGTGTCCAACTACAACTAAAAAAAATAAATACTGAAAAAAAGGACTAGAAACAATTTTTTTGTTCACATGTTCATTTTCCTGCTCTCTCTCCACTAAGCATAACCTTTTTGTACCACTTACTCCCTATAGCTAGAACTCCTGCTCAACAAAAACAGAAGTAACTATCAATAGTGAATGAACTGTGCCCAACTACATTATAATCTTATGGGACCACCATATATGCATTTATGGAAACATCATTATGCTACAGGGACAGGAAGCAAGAATGTTCACTGTAACAATAAAAGAAGCCTATAATATTTAAATATTTACTAATAGTCAATTTTGTTTAAAAAAAAAAGGACTATGGTACAGCTATACACTGGTTTTTTTTTTTTTTAAATACTTTTTTAGTTTTAGGTGGACACAATATCTTTATTTTCTTTTATGTGGTGCTGAGGATCAAACCCAATGCCTTCCATGTGCTAGGCGAGCACTCTACTGGTGAGCCACAACCCCAGCCCCTTAACACYTATTTTAATACTGCAAAACATAACCTTGGGAATCCTAATTGAAGCCTAAGAGCTCCAGCCTTCACTGAAGATTCAAGAGATTCCTTGTGAACATCATCACTGATAGATTTCTAAGCCCTACCACACTACAGAACAATTATTTCTAACCTATTTTGTCAGAGATCAATGAGGATCCAAGGTTCTTTGCTTCAGAATAAAAATATATATCAGATCAAAAAACACTGCACATGATTTCAGAATTAACAAAGCCCATAAATGCCATCCATGGACATCCACTAAAAAAATTCTCAAAAGGAGGATCAGTCTCCAAGTTATGATGAAAATAAGGACTTTGAATATGGCAAAGACTTATGGTAATATAGCAGATATAAAAATTAATCTGGCATGGCATTATGAGCAGAGGGGATAGAAAATATAACTAATATTAACAGCTATAGAAACTCTACCTCTCCTGGCAAAGAAAACCCAGTCAAGAGTATTTGCCTGGAAAAAAAAAAAAAAAAAATCTCACCCAGGGCTGGAGCTGGAGCTCAATGGTAGAGTATCCGCTTCGTACATGAGGAACTGGGTGCAATGCTCAGCACCACATAAAAATAAAGATATTGTGTCCAACTACAACTAAAAAAAAAAAAAAAAATCTCACACAGTTAACAGTCGATTCAAAAATTTTATTTCCAGCTATGTTCAAGGCTCAATAGTAAGACCTCTTTCTAATAATACATATTTGCCCTTAGTGATCTTCCAAATTAAGACCYGTGTAACTCTTTGTCCTCATAAATCTATAAACTTCCCAGCTTGGGGAATTAATATACAGCATGATAATTTTCTTTCCACTCTGAGCTATTTCTCTTACTTACTTCAACAGTACCTTACACAGAATTTGGCGGGTGGGGTGGGGGACATGAAGATTAAAAAACCATAGGTTAGAAATCTTTAAACTATCAAGCCAAAGTAAAGAAATTCATACTTTCGAAACCTACAAATTACTTAAAAATGTTAGAGAAAGTAGGTATGCACAGGAACTCCTAACGCAGAGAAGACCCTGGTCACACAGGCATGGAAGGAAGGTTTTGAGACTTACACTTTGCCTCTGACAGATTCTGATTGGGCGACCAGACCAGCATGCCGAGATTATCCCGTTCTTGACTGCGCCTAGCCAGTTTGGCTTGTGGAAAGAAAAAAAAAWTTTATTATAATTTAGCAGATACAGTAGCAAGCAGTAAGTAATAAACGCTCTGGTCTTCTAGGGCCTAGGTGGTGAGGACAGGGGTCCTTTTCCCTGAAGCTGCCTAGGGCACCCACACACTTGCTGACAGAGCAGGGAGAGGGACAGGCTGCTAAAGCCTTCTATCTCCAGATCCTTTCCCACTTTACTTTTAGTTCCTGGACACAGGTGCCTATGAGGCCGATATCATTGCTGTTGCCACCTGCTAGGTGGGGAGACAGCACAGCAGGGCAAAACAGAGCAGGGCACAAAGGGCAGAGCACCCAGCGCTCCTTCCCATCTATGCCGTCAGGTATACCCAGAAAGGAGCTGTCTGCCCCCAAGTTCTCCATGTGCACAATACCCTCACCCTTCTCTCCCAGATTGACTTTTTAGTGACATAACAACCATACTACAAAGACTCTTTCAAGGGCTGGGATTGTGGCTCAGTGGTAGAGCGCKMSAMRASMC